CTCTGAGCTAGATACGCCAACAAGTGTCAGAAGGCTCCATATGGATGTGGGAGTTACTTAATCCAACTCTTTCAACCCACAGAAATCCCCGAGGTTGAGGGGCCAGCTCGAGTTACACAAAGCAGGACGGGGCAGAGGCCAACAGCTGTGAGACCCCACCAAGGAGCTGACTTCTCTGGGAGACTATCCCAGGAGACGGGTGGTTTTCAAATGGTTTTGGCATCACCCCACAGTTCACTTCCTACACCCATTTCCACTTCTGCTAGATGGAAAAAATTAATGACAACAAATAAAAATAAAAGCTAAGACCTAAGTACTCAACAATGTGTGTCTGTTTACATGAACAGCCATAACCGAACAATAGTTTACTCCATCCCACCTCTCTGCCAGCCTAAGGTCTCAGGCTTAGATAGCTGCCAGGCACCATCTGGATATGTAGAAGTCACAACTAGAGGATATGAAGTCTAAGGAAACAAATCAACACACTTATTATGGCTCATCAAACAACACATTTTAATAACCATGAGACCTACTTTACTGATTGATTTAAAAGTCTTTCCTTGTATGAAAGAATAAAAATTTATGCAATTTTGGAATTCTCTAAAATTTGAAAAAAAAAAAAATTCTAGCATGTTTTCAAATCAGTGCAGAAGCGTCTTTGAGAGGATTGTGGCCCCGCCAGTGAATTCTGTACTTAAAAAAGGACTGATTTACAGCCACCGTCATAGCTGGGCAGATCCCCTGCGTGGAGGTGGGAAGGCATTTTCGTGAGGAATTGGGTGAAGATAGCAAGAAACACAGGCAGGCTTTCTGGCTGAGTGGTTAGCAGCCTGGTGCCCTGGGAAGATTTCAGCTGGGGCCGCGTTAGGTGTCGATAGGAAGCAGGACTGCTCCAGGTTTCATTGCCATCCAGATTGAGATGGATTAGTCTCCAGATCAGAAGCCTGGACCGCTGACTTGCCTGAGAGAAGGAGGACTCAGGCCACCCAGCAAAGGCCCTGAAACTGCAGGATTCCTAGTAGTGGCTTCTGGTGGCCCACACACTTCTTGTCTTCTCCAAGTCTGCCATTAGCAAGCCCTCCACCCCACCTCATTCTCCCACCCCACCTCACCCCACCAGTAAGCTAGCCTCTCTGGATTGCAAGGCTTCTGGGAACAGCTCCGAGAGTGGTTCTGACTATGTGCCTACAAAAGCCGCATACTGTTTAGGGCTTGGTTGAAGAGGCCAAATGGACTTAGATTGACTCCTAGTTCTGACACTGACTATGAGCCTTCAAGCCTCCATCTCCTGGCATGTAAGTTGGAGATACTACTAGACCATGCCAGGATCAATTGGCAGTTGGGGCCAATAGCCTACAGCCAGCATTGCCACTGTTTTATTAGCTGGTGATATTTACAGGTACTTCAATTACTAAGGCTGTTCTTTTCTGAGCGTCTGCATTTTCTGAATTTCGTACTGTTACATACGTGCCTCATGCATGTAACACTCACTGCTACATACACGTCTCAAATTCCCATGGCCCCCTTCCCATATTATGCCCAGGCTTAAATGGTTGCACACAGCATCAATGAATAAGTGATGTTTTTTCTTTTTTGCAGAAATGGCTGTGTGAGATGACACAATTGCTTTATAGCAAGACACAAGTTTGATGTTTATGAAGTACCGAGAAGTAGATGAGAAGCGATGAGGTTTGGAGTTTCATTCCCCCACTCTGTAAATGAAGTACCGTGCAGCCCGAGGCTGCAAAAGGCATAAATGTGCACAAAAGGCATAAACTGCTACCTGCCCCTGTTCCCGGGTCTTAGTGAAGATGGATGAGGCTTTCAGGAAGTAGTGATGAACCACATCCGCCTCCGAGCTTCAGGGAGATAATCTGAGGGCTGACTGGGACGAAAGCATTTGATCCTCTTCCAGATGCTCTAGCCTCCTTCCCAGCAACCGGAGTAAAGAAACCAGACTTTGACCTTTTTTGTATCTGATTTCCAGGCGTAGAGATGCCCAAACTTCTCCCCTCCCCCGCAATAACCTAGTCCAATGGGAGACTATTTCCCAGTCTAATCTAAATTCATTTCTTCACTTTGAGCTCGATTTCCTTTGTTTATTGCCAGATGAGACTGACAGCTTCGGTGACTACCGTTTTACTGTCATTATGTTTCCCCCTTGTCCCTCCTCCCCGATCTCTTCTCACTCTTGTGCAACTCAGACTAGCCTTGAACTTTCTCTGCAGCCCAGTCTAGCCTTGCATTCCCAATCCTCCTGCCTCCATCTCCCCAGGGCTGGGATTACAAGTATGCACTTCGCCTGGTGCATGCATTGCTGGGAACGAGACATTCATGCTAGGTTAAGTCTTCTACCAGCTCAGCCGCATCTGCACCCCATTCCTCTTGATGGTTTATGATCTCTGTGTCATATTTAAGAACTCCGCTGTCCAAACCCATGGTTACTAAGGGTTTCTCTTCTGGAAGTTTTACAGGATTTGGGTATGTACTCTATTTTGAATTATTATTTTTTTTATTTATGGTGGAATTGCTTCCACACATCTCCCCCTGACCCCTGTCTTCCTTTTTCTTTGTTGATTGGGCAGTATCTGTGTCACGCTTTCCCTGTGTCAGTGTTATTTTCCCCCTCCGTGGCTTTCTGCCTCCCCTGTCCCATGATGGCTAATCTTCACTGTCTACCTTCCTTCTTACATATTTACTTCACTTTCAGGAACTCATTTAGACCAGACCCTCCCAGAGCTATTCTTTTTGTCAACACTCACATCAATCTTTCCTTTCTTTTCCATTCCTCCCCCTTCAACCCTTCTTTCCCAGCTTCCTCCTCCTCCCAGCGTTTCTCATGCCAGATGGCATTGCCCAATCTTGTAGGAGTCACCCTAGCGCAACAAGGCCATGGCAGTCCTCGGAGGCCACGGCTTACAGCACAGACCCGAAGGTCAGAATCCCAGAGAACCGCTCCCGCTTGCGCCACTGGCTCTTCCTCAGGGCTGGAGCTTACACTTATTACCCTGGACGATCACGCCCACTGCATATCTGTTACGAGGACTCATCACCTGCGGAAAGGGAATTGCAGTGTGCTTCATACGCTCACTGCATCTGACCTTGGCAATACTCTCAATTCCCATGAGAAGAGGTCTTGAGCTAATATTAGGAGGTGAAATTCTAAAAGGCAGAGAACGTGTCCCTGGGGATAACAGAGTAGCGTAAACAAAACAAAACAGAAAGGTAGACCCCAAACCCACGTGACGTATGAGTGGCGCTGTCTGCATGGAAGGCAGCACCTGTGGAGTGGAGTGAACAGGCCTAGAGCTCTCCCTACCTCTTTCTTGATGATTTTGCTCCCCTTTTGATATGGTGGGGTCCTAGGTTTCCACAGGGGTAGTTTGATAGCAAGAGTGGAATAGGGAAGAACCCAGAAAGAACCTGTGAAACAGAGGGAGGTGGCAATTCCAGCTTGGATCCTTGGGGAGTCATCTAGCTAATATATTTGTATTAGTAGTCCCGTTTTCAGTCTGTCCAGTCTAACTGTAATTTTTTTTTTAGCTTTGAATTTTTACTTAACTGTATCTTATTATATTCCAATGTACCAATGCATCTCAAAACCTTTATACCATTGGTTGGTGTCCAGACTCATGCACACAGCTCTGAGAAGAAAGACATGACATTTTAGTTCATGAGTGTATCTGCAAGGCGTGGCTTGGCTTGCAATATGCCCCTCCTCTCTGAAAAATGCCACATCGCCTTATTGTGTTTTATATATCGTGGCTTGCGGTATTTAGATCCAAATAAATTCTAAAATGTACACCCAGACTCAGACTTAAAAATAGTGCAGGGTTTAAAAAAAAATGCTACGCTTTCCTTGAATAAGGAAAGGTATTCTAAATGCCACTTATAAGACATCAAACACGGATGGCCCTTTACATCTGGTGAAGCATCTGCTAGGAAGATGGGCTATAATAAGAATGACTTTTCTAAGTGAGATTTCTGTGCACAGTTAAATTACAAAGCAGCCCACTGCCTTACAGAGAACACTGCTTTGACTAAGGGCTATTGAACTTTTATAAACGAGCTACAGAAAAATAGAATATCTATTTAAGTCTCTGACAATCTGAAATATTTTTTAAAAAAGATTTATTTATATATACATATGAACATTTGTATGTACATTTATTTATATATACATATTGCATGTGTGCCTGTATGACAGAAGAGAGCATCAGTTCCCATTAGAGATGGCTGTGAGCCACCATGTGGTTGCTGGGAATTGAACTCAAGACCTCTGGAACAGCAGTCAGAGTACTCTTAACCACTGAACCATCTCTCCAGCCCCAATCTGAAAGATTTTTAAAGAGAATATTTGTAGCTTGAAAGGGGAGGGCTGGTGAAATATAGAAAAATTCAGGAGAAATTTCTATTTCAGAAATTCTTCTGAATTCTATTTCAGAAGAATTAAGGCTCTTGAAGTATTGACATTTGCTCTCAGTTGATGGATATTCATTATATACAAATATGAAAAGGCTTGTGCTCCTTTTTATTTTAGAAAAAAAAAAGAAGAAGAAAGTAATTTCTTCAGAATTTAGAGAGCCATTGTAATAGCCTACAGTTCCAAGGTAAGGGGTCAACAAACCAGAGCCCAAGGGTTGGGGCATGATCAGCCTGATAAACTCCTGCCCTGCCTTCCTCAGGCTGGAGTCAAGAAGGATGTCTACAACATTAAAAAGAGTGGAAAGGAAAAACAAAACAAAACAAAAAAAAAAACTATTTCTTGGCGTGTGAGATCACACACTATTCAGATTCCAGGGCCCACCAATAGCGTTTTATGGAAACACAGCCGTGTGCACTTCTTCACAGTTTGTCTGCGACTACTTTCCCAGATTTGGTGATAGAGTTAAGCAGATTTGACACATGAATGTCACATTGCACAACCCACACTGAAGAATCTGCTGATGTAAGCAATGGACGCCCCCTTCAGACCCCCAGAGAACAGGGAAGGCACATACTTGATTGAGATGGTACAGGTATCTGGTGAGACGCTGGAGCCCACAGTAGCTGCATTTGAATTCACCTCTTGACCACGAACTGCGCTGCTGGGATCAGGTAAGTCCAGGCCACCGACAGAGTGAGGGAGGACAGAGAGAAGGTAAGCAGCTTGTCTCTGATGGGAAGACTGTTTCCATTTGTGGGTCTATATACGTGTGGATGGGGGAACCTGGAAAACTTCTCCCTCATATCCAAGCAACTCAACTAATCGATATCAATGAGGATGAGGTAGCTTTCATCCATGGCCTTAGACATCATGGATGACAGACATATAAGCGTTTACAGGTATTCAACAGCAAAGGAAAAGCCCATCTTCTAGTTCTCTTTCCTCTTCATCTGACTCTAAGTGTGTCAAATGGTATATACAGTTTGTGTAGGTGTGTGCGTGCATGTGTGTGTGTGAGCGTGTATGTTTCATTTTTTAAAGACAGCTTCTCTTATAGCCCAAGCTGGCTATAACTCACTATGTAGCAAGGCTTAGCCTTGAACTCCTGATTCTCCTGCTTCTGACTCCCAAATGTAGGAATTATTGGTATGGCTATAACTATAATGCCTGGATACCTTATCTTATTTTTATTTTGGAGACAAGTCCTGTGCTCTCAATTCTCCTGCCTCAGCCTCTAGAGTACTGAGACAATAGGCACATGCCACTATGCTTTGCACACTTTGGTCTTTGAAGTGAAAGTTTATAAATGTTTTGTCACTGACAAGAAATCCAAACCACATATCATAGATACTAGTCGTGTGTCCACATAAATAATCATGGCTCACGCTGGGGAAATAAATCCTATCATGAAATTTTCAGACTAAGTTTCAAAGAGTCAATCATCTTCTGGAATCTGACTTGAGTATGTAACTTGCGAATGGATTTTCTGGGGCAGGGGTGGCTCACAAAGTTCTACCTACTGCCTGTTAAAAAAAAAAAAAATCCCAGGCTAGAGAGCTGCCCAGGAGGTAAAAGTCTTCACACCAGGCCTGACTCCAATCAATCAATCAATCAATCAATCAATTATACGTGTATATACATACATGCATAAAGTTTTTAAAAATTTAAAAGTGAAAACTGAATAAACTAGCTCAGTGAGGGTTGACTGCCATGTCCCCCTACTGCCCAGAGTTAAAACAAAACAACAACAAAAATCCAAAACAGCTAACAATTCTTAACTAGCCTAGTCTGTGGACCCCCGAAGCACTCAGCCTTTGATGGACATTTTCTTATCCCGTAGTTAATTCAGCTGGATGGAACTTCCCTGGGCAGGCTTTAGCTTGGCAGCAACTGTGAAGGAGACTATTAATCACGAGAGAGCTCACACTCAGCTATGAGAGATGCTGATCCTGTAGACACAGGACCAAGCCGTGAGGATGCTGCAGAAGACCTCTGTGAGGTCTCATTTTACCTCAGCGACATCACCAAGTGGGAGTTTGGCTGCCTTGTGCATTGTGGAATCTGGGAAGCAATGAATAATCCTTTAGACCTGGGTCAGAGAGACATCCTTCTTCCACAAATTTCTCTTTGGGCTTATGAAGGCGGTTTCCCCCAAAGGGCTTAAGAGGCCTTGCTCGGTAGGGAGCAGCAAACTCTCAGCTGCTCATTGATTTATGGTTATGAATTATTAATTTGCAAGTTAAATACAAGAATACATGCATTATTAAATATATGTATTAGTGGCCAATTTATTAGTACATACACATGTCATGAAATATGTATTCAGATGTGTGCTACATATGTACAAAACACCTGACATAAGCATATTTAAAACAAAAACAAAAAGTGAGTCAGTACTTCCAGAAGCCCTTCCCTGGGGCTGGAGAGACGGCTCACTGATTAAGAGCACTGGCTGCTCTTGCTCAGGACCCAGGTTGGATTTCCAGCTCAAAACTCTGTAACTTCAGCTCCAGAGCATCTGATGTTGTTTTGGCACATGCGCGCATGCGGGCTCTCACACAGGCACATAATAAAAAATATATATAAATCTTAGAAAGAAAAGAAGGAAGGGAAGGGAGGAAGGAAGGAAAAAACCCTTCTCTAGGTTTGCTAAGACTGCAGTAGCCTAGGTCTGCCCGGGGCCAGGTAGAACTGCCTCTTTTTAAGTCTCCAAAATGCAGCCAGGCAAGGCGTGAATCAAAACCACAGGAAAACATTCCATAGTCAGCTGCTCAACGTGGTAAGATAAGAAAGCCAGATAATTCCATGTGCAGTTCAACTCACTGTTCTTAACTGATAGGCTAAGCTGAAATCTTGATTGTGGATTTTAAAATATTGACAATTTAGATTTCTGTCTTTTAAAAACAAACACAATTAATTGCGAACAAGGTGAACCAGGGCGTATAAGTTCCCCATTTATTAAGGTCATGTAACTTTACCCAAAGGGAGGGCTGGAATCAGGTAGGTTTGTGAAACTCAGCGCAGGTCACCCCCCCACCCCCAGGTGGCAACAGAGGCAGGAAGGATTAGCATTGTGTGAGAATAGGAGAGTTGGGGAAACTGCAAACCTCTCGTGTAGCAGCTTAGAGACACCATGAGAACAGCTGTTTTTCTGGTGTTCTGGTTTCCACCGGCTTTCATAACTAAATGCGCATGGAAATAAAACCCGAGGAGGAGAAAACGCTTGGCACAAAAGCCCTACAGTTTTCTGTCCCTTGAGCCGGGATGTAGGTCAGCTTATCCATTTCTCACTCTCTAGCGTGTGTGAGCGTGACCACATGCGCACAAACGCGATCGTACCCCACCCCCCAACCCCACACACCTGACTCTTACCTCCTGGCCCACACCCATCACTTCCCGCCTCACCCACTAGAAACACAGAGGGCAGGGGGTATGTTGGTGTCAAAACAAAACAACTCTTATTCCTGCTTCATAATTTATCTTACTCGCAAGCAAGCATGAGAAAGAGGCACAAACATTAGCCAAAACTTTGCAGCATCAGAATTCAACCATTTGCTCAGCATTTTAGTTAGAAGGACTGCAGCTAACACAGAACTCCTCCTTTCTCAGCCCGGTCACAGAGCAGGGCTTGGGCAGCAGGTCTGAGCCCCCTTAATGGGGCCAGCACGGAGCCTTCTGTTTCCAGTCCTATACTTGCGGGCTTTAGGCTGTGGTCTTACCGGCTCTTTCAGAATGTTATGAATGTACATGAGGATGACTCTTGGGATCCTTGTCACAGTGATTAAAAATGACCCTTTCACCGCAGTTCCTTGATGGTAGCAGAAAAGGATGAAGAGAGACGAAAGGATTGGACGGGCAGGAGGGTCATTTTGATTCCTGGGAACGGGGGTGGGGGAAAGGACATTTAAAATCCACTATTTAAAAAGCAACACGTTCTCTCTGGTTCAGATCCTCGTCGACATTAACATCTTGTAATGTGATGATGCAGTAAGCCCTTGGCAAGATTTTTATCCTCCTTGGTAGCCAAGGTTACCTTAGATCTTGGGCTAATTCACTTTTTTTTTTTTTTTTTTTTTTTTTGGTGGCATTCATGCGTAAACAAATACAAAACAGAAAAAAAATATCAATGATCTAAAACATACACATTTCTTACAGTTGCTGGTCCTTCCCCCCCCCTTCCAGCTGTCTGTTGATACTATTTCATTTGCAATAGATTAAGTACGTCTGTTGGTGTTGACCGTTTAAATGACAGAGGGACATGTGTAATTATTGCCAGTATTAACTTGATATTTCGTGCCATCAAGTCACATGGTCAGGCCTGGGGTCAGTAGAGGTAACCAGGAGCTTTGGTTTGATGGCAAGGAGACAACGTAGCTGGGCCTTTTAGCTTCTGCACAGCTTTGGGTTCCCCAAATCAGCTGATTTCTTCTCTGTTCCTCAAAGGTCACTTCAGTGTGAATCATTTACTGAACTTGCAATGACACAGCTCCTAAGAATGTGTGCAAATCGGCTTCACGGAGCGGAAAAAAGAAAGAAAGAACAGAAGGGGAACAGCCCTCCCTCTCCCTCGAACCCGAAAGCCAAAAGAGAGCTGATGTCACCCTTCTGCTGACTTTCTGAATGTGACCCGGCGTTCTCAGGGATGCCATTCTAGAAAAGGAGGCCGAATTTCCCAGAAGCAACTTTATGGGCTCCAAGGGAAGCTTGCTTTCTTTAGAAAAGAGTTCTCTACAACTGGCTTGGCCTGCTAAGTCACTAGGAATCAAGGTTTCGACAATGGCCTGGGATCTGAGAGAGGAGGAGGAGGAGGCCCATAGCCAGCAAAGTCTCAAGACTTGGCAACCGGTGCATTTTGCTGTTACTTAAGTCAACCAGGAAGAGAGAGGGGAGATGGCAGCAAGACTCAGGCTGCCTATCCAAAAATGCTATGCTCGGTAGAGTGCTTGCCTCACATGCACAAAGCCCTGGCGTCAGTCCCCAGCTTTGTAGGAACCCCGAGCGCTGGTGCTGCCTATAATTCCAGCACTCAGGAAGAGGTAGAGGCAGGAGGATCCAAAGTTCAATGTCATTCTCATTTGAAGCCCGGCAAGGTCACAGGAGGCCCTGAGTGGTGTGATTGTGGGGAGGATGGACCAGGGGTTCCGTTCACTGATGGAAATCCGTTTGTCGTTTTGATCTGACGCTGGAAGAGTAGATCGGGCCAGGAAATTCTGACACATTTTCCCCATCTCTTCACTTTTTTTTTTCCCCTAAAGGAAGAATGTTTACTTTTCCATTGAGATTTATAAGCTTCAGAACTTACTGTAATGCTTAAGAGAGGGAGACGCAGAAGAAGAGGGCACCTGCCTCCCATCTGCTTGGGAAATAAATGACTCACAGGCCACGTGAATGGGGCCTCCAGGTCTGGTCCTCTAGGTACTGAAGCCTGGCTTGGGCATCAGATTTCTGAGCATGTTTTACTGCAGTGGGATAAAGGATTTGGGACAGAGGAATACTGTCCCCGCCTTCCCTCCAAAGTCACAATGCTCCACTCTACAGGGCTTGGCTGGAGGAAGGTACAGAGGTTCCTAAGCTGGGCTATCACATGGTGAGAGAGGGAACTTTAAAAAAGGCCCTTTTAACCCAAGCCAACAGTCACTCAATACCTGCTTTCAAACTACAAACAGTCCTGCAAGAGAGAGGCTGAGCAGAGTGTCTTTGAAGTCACCTCTCTTTTCTACAGTCACCAGGGACATCAGCCTGCCATCCCTCCCCTCTGCACAAGTGGATAGGGCCATCAGCTCTGTCTCAGAGCTGTGCTGTGCACAGCCAGCACAACCTAGTTTTGGGAAGAGGAGCTGATTATTTCCCCATGAAGCTGAAAATAATACCACTCTCTGGACCTAAGCATAGTTTGAGAACTGACACTGTGGTGCTAAGCATGCTGGGTAACCAGTGATAACATTAGTTGGAGTCTGGGGAAAACTGAGAATACATTTCGGTCAAGGTACATGCATAGTGTTTTACAACCACACGAGCAACGTCAGGGCTTGAAGAACAATCGTTTTAAATCCAGCCTAGCACTAGGAACTCCTCCAACATTATACAAAGCCAGTTTTGTGTCATAGTCCCTGAATAGAGTCCGGGCGGCATGGGGTAGCTAGACTCCAGCAAAGCTGGCAGCGAGTGGAAAGCAGCCTGGCCACGGCAAAGAGCATGTTTCTCCCTTGTATTTCTCTAGCAAAATCTGCAAGATGGCATGAGGAGCCTGTGAGGTGACTTGTAAGGTCATCCTTCCAGTGCAACGAGAAATACAAACTTCGTGCACGCATGCGTGTGTGGGCGCATGGGTGGTCTTGTCTACTTGGAGTCCAGAGGTCAACCTAGGGCGGAGGGGGTGGGATGTTGTTTCTTAGGTGCTATCCAGATCTTGTTTTCCGACCCAGGGTCCATCACTGGCTTGGCTGGTTGACCAGCAGCCCAAGGATCTGTCTATCTGGACCTTCCTAACACTGGGATTACAAATCTACACAACAGGGCCAGAGAGACAGCTCAGTGGGGACCCGGCGACCTGAGTTCCGCCCTTGGAATCTACAGCAAAAGAACAAACTCCAGCAAGTTGTCATCTCTCCTTCACATTTATGTGTGCACACGCACACACGCGCACACACACGCGCACGCACACACACACACACACACACACACACCAAATAAATATAAAAATAAAATTCATGACACATGTCTGGCTTTTTTATGTGGGTTCAAATTCAGGTCTTCATGCTTGCATAGTAAGTGCTATATCAACTGTACCATCTCTCTAGTTTCATACTACCCCAGCCACAGCCTTTTTGGAGACAGGGTCTTATGTGTCCAGGTTACCCTAAGACTATGTAACCTCAAACTTATCCTTGATTGAGGATGACCTTTGAACTCCGGATCCTTCCCAGCGATGCGATTACAGTCATGTGGTACTACTCTTGGCTTCCCAAAGAGAGTCTCTTATGATGCCCTCTTTGAGCAAATGTTTGTTTGTTTGTACTTTAAAGATGTGTTTACTTTTATTTTATGTGCATGAGCGTTTGCCTGCATGTCTGTATGTGTATCAAGTATTCACCCAGAGGAGGCAAGAAAAGCGCCTCAGATCTGCTAGCAATGGAATTACTGCAGTTGTGAGCTGTCACGTACGTGAGTGCTGGGAACCAAACTCAGGTCCTCTCCAAGAGAAACATGTGCTCTGAACTGCTAAGCTGTTCCTACTGCTCCACAAATGCTCTTCAAAGGTAAGCTTACAGGCTGCCCATCTCTTGGTACATAATGTGTTTTGTTTTGTTTTGTTTTGTTTTATGAACCCTTCAATCCTCTTCAATACATGACAACGATCAATGCACTGGGTCTATATTAAAATTCTGCCCTTGCAAGTCAAAATACGGCCTGAAGGAATTGTGAGCTGTAGATGACAAAAAAACCTGGAGGTTTCACAGTGAAGCAGACTGTTCAAAGGAAAGTCGACTCTTCTGTTTGTTTTGAGATAAGGCTTCTCTGTGTAGTCCAGGTCAGCCTAGAACTTGCCTCAGAGGTGGTGAGTATGCCACCATGCCTGGCTCTTGAATAATTAGATAACTGTAGTGCTAAAAGTAAATTATTATGCATTTTATTTTTAATTCACGCCTATGTCTGCCACATGTATGTAGGTGCCTATTGGAGGTCAAAAGAGGAGCTGGGTTTATAGGCTGTTGTGAGCTGCTTGGAACCACCGGGCCATGTCTTCAACCTGCTCGTGTACTTTATTTTAAATTAAATTTACATCAAAATAATAGTTAAAGAACTAAATAGTGCTGGTAGGCTTAAGGAAAACAGCAGTTTGCTTCACCTGTTCTTAATTATTCCTCCCTAGAGATGCTGGAACTTACCTCCATACTTTAAAACTATAGATACTTAAAATTTTTTTTATTTTATTTATTTTTTATAATTTATTCACTTTGTATACTGATTGTAGCCCCCTCCCTCATCTCCTCCTGGTTGAACCCTCCCTCCTTCTCTCCTCCTATCCCCTTCTCCTGGTCCACTGAAAAGGGGGAGTCCTCTTCTAGGTTTCTCTGTGTAGCCTTGGCTGTCCTGGAACTCACCCTGTAAACCAGGCTGGTCTCCAACTCAGAGATCCACCTGCCTCCGCCTCCCCAGTGCTGGGATCCAAAGGCATGCGCCACCACCAACACCCAGCAACTATAGATTGTAAATGACTTGCTTTTTCCTATGGCACCTTGCCTGTTTTCTTTTCTGGTATTGAGTATCGACCCCCGGGCCTCGCACCGGCTCTACTGTTAAGCCACTCATTTTGCCTCTCACGATTTTTCAGCTTCGGATATTGCCTACTGATGCTGTCTCACACAGAAGAGCCAGGTTTCACTCCCTTTCCAGCCTCCTCCTCACACCCTCCGTCTTAATCACTCCTCAGTTACACTAATTCTTTAGTTAACATTTAGTGCTCATATCATCAATATGTAAACAAAATGTACAGTGAGGAATATTCCCAAGGGATAAAAATAGCAGGGTCCAACTATATTTCCTTTTCTGTATAACTTTAGGGTTTTCCTGGAGCTCAGACTTGCATCTCTTTTTTTATTTATTTTATTTTTTTAATTTGCTGTTTCCCTTGGGCTTCACTCAACACTGAGCCAAAGTGTAAATCTCAATGTGTTTCAGCACATCTGTTCCTCTCTCTGTGTCTTCTGGAGACAGCCCTCTTGCAGGTCACCGTGCTCTCTGCATTAGATTTGACTTTTTGTTTTAACACTTGCAACACTGTTGCCTTGGGGGAACTCCAGCCTCTCCTTTCCACAGGCTGCTCATTTTCTGAAACTCCTTTTCCTCCCTGGCCTACTCATGATTTTCAGTGGAAACATCCTTCCTAGAAAGGATGTGCCAGGGAAGTCTTTGGGGATTTTGTGCGAGCATGACTGTATTGACCCTTGATGGTGGGAACCGGTACTGAAGTCCAGGTCAGGGGCCTCAGAGCCCACGCATTTAGACAGCGTTGCTCTGCTGTTTTCTGGGGTCAGAGTAGCTGCTGAGGGCTAGAAAAGTCCTCAGCTCTGCCAGAGTGTCTTTGAAATTTTCTTTCTTCAGTTTTTTTTAAAGCTCTATCTGGTAGTGTATGCCTGAAGTCTCACACCTTCAGTGGACGAGGCAAGAGGGTCAGAGGTTCAAGGTGACCCTCGGCAGCACTGCAGGTTTGATGGCTGGGCAGTATGAGACCCTGCCTCCCCAAGAAAAGCAAACAAACAAGAAAAAATAAGTTCTGTTTTTTTTTTTTTCTTTTTGCTCTATTGCTCTATCTAAATGTCCCATTAGCCAGATAGGGGGTTCTTAAATAACCCTAACATTTTATCTTTTATTTCCCTATTTGTCTCTTTGGCCAACTCTCTAGAGAGCTCTTTGGCTTCACAGTGGAAGCATTCAACAGAAAATGCTTACTTTGAAACTGTTAATTATTAAAGGGTCTTTCTCATTCCCTTGATACCCATTTTTTTGTGTGAGGGGTTTCAGATGTGAGTTCACTGTTTCTGTGTCCTCTGTGATGATGTCACTGGTGTGTCCCCCACACTGTCCCCAGCTTCCTGTGCAGCTTGCACAGAGTCTGTTTCCCTGAAATTCTTTTTGTTTGGTTTCCAGTCTCTTTCACTTTCTTCGAATGCACAACAACCACTGGCAACCGGTTCACACACAATTGACGAAAGACTGCTTGTTGTCTGGGGAGCACCACTCCTGGGGTACGAGTCCCTATTTTGCTTCCGGCTCCCTCATGTGGCACCTGACTTGGGTTAGAAAGCTTCTCAGACACCCCCATTTAGAGGACCAACGTGGCTGCTAAGGCCCTGGGAACTGAGCTGTGGGATATGGGTGGTGGTGCTTATGGGGCCACATCAATCAGTGCTTCGGCACATAGCCCTGCCCCAGCCTCAGCTGTGTCAGATACCTCATGATCAAACCCTCTCTGGGGTATAGCCCCGGAGAGCAAAGGCCTCTTCTCTTTATACGGAGGAAAGATCTATCCTAGCGGTTGGAGACTTAGCATCTTTGCAAGCACGTTTTTATTTTGCACTTACTTGTATTTTGAAAGTCGCCTTCTGAGTTCTTAAATTTGTATTGACTATTGTTGTGTGTGTCTAGGTGTCTGCTGTGTGTGTGGAAACATGAGGGCATGGGAATGCCCTGGTGGAGGTCAGAGGGCCGCCTCTGGAAGTCCGAGCTCTCTTTCTAGCCTGGGTTCTGGGGATCAGACTCAGGTGGTCAGGCTTTCATGGCAAGCACTTTTCCCTGCTGAGCCATCTGGCTGACCTGAAAGCACATTTTATACTTGAGTTCCTGCCTCTCTGGCTTCTGCGTTCAGCCAGCATCTTATTTGCAAGTCTGCACACAGCCAACACTCACAAGCAGACCTTTCTAGCTTTTCCTAGTAAGCCTAGTCCTGTCTTCAGTTGTCATCATTTGGCTGAATTTTATTTTACTTTTTAAATTAGCAGCCGAAGTCACACAGTTCAAAGGCTGATAGTTCTCATCTGTTGTCACTGCTTGCCTGTTTCTCACAGTCTGCGTAATTCTTTAATGACAGACTGTGGACAGAAGGGAGGGGCTGAGATCAATGACCATGAACCAATGGAGCTCCACATCCAAGCCCTTGTTGGAAATGCTTTAGTGTGGTTATACTGACATAACACGGACTCTCTCTGCCGGACAGATGTTACCTGATGGCCAATTTGGCTGGACAGATCTTTGTTCCCTACTGGAGATCAAGCAACTCCCACCTCCACTGGGAGGCTCTCAGTGCTAAGCGAGGGCAGTAGCCCTTTGTGTGTCCCCCAGAATTCCTATTGACCAGGTTCCCAAAGGGTGCCATGCTATTAAAAGCCCGCAGTGCTCTTTTTCATCAGAGGCAACTGCTCGATGACATGATTCACGGCTGCTTGGCTCCCCCTGCCCCGACCCCAGAAAGCTCATGTTTATCTACTCATTTGGTCTGAGACTTTAGAGGAGGGTCAGCTCTACCAGGAGTAATATTCCTGTTCCAAGTCCAACCCTGTCATTGTCCTGGGCCTGCTCTCCTGGCTACAGTCTGTGGAGAGTTACGCACAAGAGATGCAAAGAGCTTGGGTAAATGTGAGTGGGATGGAGGAACAGCAGTCCTCAATTATTTTCACGAGGTAATGGGCTATAGATACTGGATAAGGAATCAGTTTATTAGTACTTACCTCTAAGGACATGAATTATACTTTACATTTCTTTAGGGTGTAACATTATTTTCCAAGTAAATATTCTTCTGAATTTTACAGAGATAAAGTAATTGATAAAGCTACTGGAGGGTCTTCAAAATAGATCCACAATGTTTAAAGTGTGAATACAACTTTTTTTTTTTTTTTTTTAATTCTAGGCAGTATGATTTCTTCGCTGTTTGATTTTCCCCCCTACATTTTCCAGTTTAAGCAAAAGGGCCTGGAAATGTGTGAGGTTTAAGGTAGACTATTTCTCCTGACCAGTAAGTGAGCTTACAGTCCATATTTTAGCTTAGTCTTTTTTCCTTTTTTTTTTTTTTTCCCTAATTCTTGTTACTCTCTTTTAAGGAGTTGAGGAAAAATCCCCAGATATGTTCAGCGATGCATACACAACTCAAAGCACCCAGACAAACCACAGGGATGGAAGGCTGGACTCACCTGTTGAAATAACAAGTGACCATTGCTCCCGCCACAGTCAGCCGCTGGCACGCCAGGATGAATTCGCTGGTCCAGATGAGGCCGATCAAATGGTACCACCACATATACCGAATGCCCGAAAGAGGCCGATAGTCCACTTGTCCACCTTCCGTCACCTGGGCAGTGCCTAAAGGTTGAATTACAAACATGCTTTACACCAGTACTTTCCTTGTCTTGGAAGATGGTTCAGCGAGCCATGTTTCTTCACGCGTGGTCTTTGGCACTAGGCAAAATGCAGGTGTCAAAGTTTACATTCACACAGCAAACGCATCGACATTGACCGCAGGGGCTTTGTAAGACACTTGACCCACATTCTAAAACTCACCCTGCTTTGAAGGTGTGAAATTGGGTTCTGAAGAGTCTAACTTTAGTGACCTCTGGTGACTAATAGAAGGACACCTTGCCCCGGCTATTTTATGTTACATCACCTTGTGTGATGTGGGCCAAATATGTTACATTGTCAAAATACACAAAATATTAAGATCGCGTCGCAGAACTCTTCACCAAAAGACTTAGACTCTATAAAAGAGACTCATAAGAGTCTGCCTTTACTACAGCGACTCCAGTTAGAGTTTGTTTCAAGAGCAAACTCTCTTGGCACATGTAAAAGGACTGCTTTCCTTGGGTCAGATCTCAGTGTGGACCTTCTTGTGAAGCCTGGGACACATTACATGGCTTCTTAGAATCGTGGTCTTAGCTGGGTACTAATTTCTTCTTCTTGGTAGTTTGAGCATAGAGTGATATAATCTGGGTATTCTCTGAGATATAGACTGGCCCACAGAACTATTCCTGCACGTGTGATAACAATCCTCATCCTCGTCCTGTATTCCAGGAGCACGATACCGCATTGAGTTAAGGCCATTAGGGCTGTATTAATAATGTTCCACTGTTGATGTGCTTTAGTCTCCTTTCTCCTCCAGCCTAAAGAATGCTTTGGATTAGCTTCGTAGATACTGGTAAACCAGCTCTCAGCTCTGTGCTTGATTTTTAATGCTCTCTCACTAGCTTCACAAATAAACTACCAGAGGGAAGAAAGTTAGAACTCTGATTGGTCGTTGGTGAAGACTGCCACTTGCCCATCATTTGAACATGTTTCAGTTCATGTCATGGCTACACATGGACTTTCATTTCATTGACTCGTTCACCTTTCAACAGTCACAATAGAGTTCATACAGCAAGGGAAAAGGTGAAGGTAATCACGGTAAGCAAAATGGATTCCACAGATGAAGGCTGGTCTCTGTTCCTTCCTCTCTAAGTTTTGCTGAACAAGAATGCCGCTGGGAGAGGTAATGGGGCAGCTTGAGTAGAGTGGGGTAGAGAAGCCAGCATTGGTCTACTGAATGTTGAACTCATTTTGGCCTGGAAGGAGATGTGTTTCAGGCGAGGCTCAAAAATATGCCCAACTTTCCCCAAAGCTGCTGTGTTTCAGAAAACCATTCCCACCAGCAGGGAGGTGGCTCCTCATGATGGCAATGGCTTTTAGGTACAGCGGGCCAGCAGGCTGTGAGATCCGCACTGTGATCCCTCTGAAGTGCACAGGGCCTGAGAACAAGCGTGCGCTTCTTTTTGCAAGACCACGAGTGCCAGGAGAAAATGATGTTTTGCAGGTGGAGAATACTAACATAGAGTGGGGGTGGGGACGTCATTTTCCTCACACAGACAGGTGGCTGGAATGGACGCTAAGAGAGGACAGTCGGTCCTCTTGCCTGCCCTGCGTGGCCATTGCTACACATCTCCCTACTTGTCTCACTGGTGGCAACAGTCAGCACGTAGAGTGTCTGAAGTGATAGATCAGGATCCACTTGGCCCTCAAAGACTTCCCAGCCTCCAAAGAAGCACAACTCATAGCTTTTTTTTTTTTTTTTGACAAATTTCTGTGGGTTGAAGTGTCAAATCTCCTCTACTTGCACCATGTGTTCGGGCAATCGGGTGTGTTCATGTGTGTGGGTACGCATGCCACGGCTTGCACGTGGCAGTCAGAGGACAACCTTCACACATTGGTCCTTGGCTTTCCACCTTGTTGGAGATGGTCTGTACCCTGGCCCGTAAGCCATGGTAGCTGGCAGACAGGCTTCCGGAGCCCGCCTGTCTCTTCCTTCCTTCCCCTATAGCATGCTGGCATTATCAACACTTGGGCTACCATGTCCAGCTTTTACGTGGTTTCTGGGGATCCGAACACAGGTCGTCAGGTTCGCACAGTCAGTGCTTTCTCCCCAGGAGCCATCTCTGATTCTTCCGGAGATGTCTTTTATCTGTTCTTTTTGCCAGTTTCACCGGGCTGCTTATAGATGCTCCTCGAGATAGGACTATTTAGCTTCTCAGGGCCCTTGTTGGCATTCTGAAGCAGGTATTTCTGTGAGCAGTGTAGTGGTTGTCTGATTCGTTTGTGGGCGCTCCAGAGGACGCTTCGTGTCTTCTCCCCTTTACGATGATCCAGAACACCGTCATACGATGCCGAATGACACCTGGGAGGAAATCACCGCAGGAGAACCACTGCTGTAAGCAGATCTCTTAAAGGATCGGGGACCGGAGGGAAAGCCTGGGAACGCAAGGACCTTCACCGCCCCTGTTCCAGAGTCCGAGGGTGGGGCAGGCAAACTTCTGCGTGCAGGACTGCCCTCTCCTGGATGGGCCGTGTTGGTGCAGGCAAGATCCTCGGTTCAGCTGCCCAACCGCAAACAAATCCTGGAGCCTTCTAGAAGTCTGCTTTTTCGCTTTACCGCTTAGGGATAGTAACAGCTACTTCTCTCTCGTTTGTACCTCACCACATCATGACTCTAAATGCCGTACACGTAGTCGGCACCCGCAAATGCAGTAAATGGATAAGGTGCTAAGAATAGAAGGTGCGATGCCGGGTTAGCTGCAAATGAATTCTGGGTAATATCATCCCAGGGCTGAAATTAAACAGGTACCGAATATCTACTGCACACCGGCTTTTTGCTGGACATTCGCTGTTAGGAGGAAAAATGGAAGAGGCAGAACCCAGGATGTCACGATGCACTCCAAAGACCCAGGGGCCATCGCCATCATCTCCTCCCATCCTGCGTTACTGCTGTTAAAGTGAACCTAGGGTCATGTCTCTATTCTCCAACCTTCCCATCCCACATCTCCAGCATTTGACCCCGTTTCTTCTCCGAATTCCTTTATGAATCCATCTCTCACTTAATGACACTGTTCTAGCTGAATGTACTTCCTTCCTGTCCCCAGAACCCTGTTTTCATTAGGGTCCTCTACTTGGGACATTCTTACTTTCCTCAGTCAGACTTGTGGCCCAGTTCATACTGCTTTCAAGTCTTTGTTCAAGTATCTCACCCTAACCCCTAGCCCTAACCCTTACCCTATAGCCAAATTAAAAAATGATTTCTGGCTCCTCCGGCACTTGCTGCTCCTGTTCTCTGCTTTCTTTTTCTCCATTCCTCTTACCAACTATTATAGTCATTTACCTTTTTTACTTAATATATGTTTTCCTCCATCTTGTAAATGAGAAGGACACTACATTGTCCATGTGGGGTTTTTTGTTGTTTGTTTTTTTCAAGACAGGGTTTCTCTGTGTAACCCTGGCTGTCCTGGAACTCACTCTGTAGAACAGGCTGACCTCGAACCCAGAGATCTGCCTGACTCTGCCTCCCAAGTGCCAGGATTAAAGGCGGGCACCACCATACCTGGTTGTGTCCACATGTTTTAACAGGATTTTTAACTCACAGTAAATGTTTAATGAGTGGATGGTTGGAGGGATGGACGGACACTTGTAAAAAATGACATATTCTAATTTTCAATTTTAATTTTATGTGCATGAGGGCTTTGCCTGCATTTATGTCCGTGGACCACATGTATGCCTGGTGCCTGTGGAGGCCATAGAAGGCATTAAATTCCTTGGAACTGGAATTAGAGATGGTTATGAGTCACCATCTGGATGCTTAGGAATTGAACCTGGGTCCACAGAAAGAGCAGAGACATTGCTCCAGTCCCAAGCGTATTCTCTATTAAAGATGTTTGAGACAACAGCTTTCTAGATCTCTCTGGAACACACCAGAATAACCTCCGATAGAGTCTTGATGTTATTTAGAGCATTTTAAGAGACTGTAGCAGCACACTGATCTTTGTGAGTGGCAGATTCTTTAGGAAGACAGGCCAGCTGGGTAGGACAATTTCTCAAAGGGTGCAGACACAACTCAAAAAGGACTCTGTTTTCTGGCCTTCTGACCCTGAGCTTGGCTTCTGCCTCTGCTCTGGCTGCAAGACCATTAGGGAGAATAAGAGGAAAATTTTATTGATATGGCAACCCTGAGCCAAGGGATAGAGAAAGAACATACATGTCCCTCCCCTCAGGGCTCTTATACTTGTGGATAACAACTGAGCTGACTTGTCTTAAAGGGGGAACCTCAACTGAGAAAACACCCCACTAGATTTGCCTCTGGTGCATTTTCTTGACTGATGGTTGATGTGAGAAGGCCCACCTCACTGCTGGAGGTACCGCCCCTGGCCTGGTGGCCCTGGGTGTTATAGGAAAGCAGGCTGAGTGAGTCACAGAGAGCAATCCGGTAAGCTGCACTCCTCCATGGCCTCTGCATGAGCTTCTGCCTCTTGGTTCTTGCCCTGTTTGAGTTCCTGCCCTGATTTTCTTTAATAATGGAGGGTGCTGTGGAAGCATAAGCCAAATAAATCTGGTCCACTCTAAGTTGCTTTTGGTCCTGGTGGTTTACATTTTATTAACTCTGTATCCCAGCTGTATCCTGCTCCTGCATTCCCTCCCAAACCCTCCCTCATTCCCTCATCTCCTCCCTGCCCCTTTCCAAGTCCACTGATTGGGGAGGACCTCCTCTCCTTTCATCTGACCCTGTTTTATCAGGTCTCTTCAGGACTGGCTGCAAAGTCCTCCTCTGTGGCCTAGCAGGACTGCTCCTCCCTTGCGGGGTGGGGAGGTCAAAGAGCCTGCCATTGAGTTCCTGTCAGAAATAGTCCCTGTTTCCCTTACTATGGGAAACCAATTGGTTACTGAGCTACCACGGGCTTCATCCAAGCAAAGGTTCTAGGTTATATCCATACATGGTCCTTGGTGGAGTGTCAGTCTCAGAAAAGACCCCTGTGCCCAGATATATTTGATCCTTGTGGAGCTCCTATCCTTTC